TGTTTTCTAGATGGGTATTCTGGGTATAATCAAATTCCAATTGCACCAGAGGATCAAGAGAAAACCACTTTCACTTGTCCATTTGGTACTTTTGCTTATTGGAAGATGCCATTTGGGTTATGTAATGCACCAGCCACCTTTCAACGGTGCATGATGAGCATATTTTCAGGCTTGGTTGAGAGAATTGTTGAGGTATTCATGGATGATTTTTCAGTTTTTGGGGATAGTTTTGATCTTTGTCTACAAAATTTATCTCAAGTTCTCGAAAGATATCAAGAAACAAACTTAGTGTTAAATTGGGAGAAGTGTCATTTTATGGTAAAGCAATGCATTGTTTTGGGACATCTTGTTTCAAACAAAGGAATTGAAGTTGACAAGGCAAAGATTGATGTAATTTCCAAGTTGCCGCCCCCTACTACAGTAAAGAGCATTCGATCATTCTTGGGTCATGCTGGGGTTTATCGACGGTTTATCAAGGATTTCTCCAAGATTAGCCGTCTTTTGTGCAACCTACTTGCTAAAGACGCCCCGTTTAATTTTGATGCAGATTATTTAGAGGCATTTAACCAGTTAAAGACACTTTTAACTACAGCTCCTATCATTGCTGCCCCTAATTGGGGTTTACCCTTTGAGTTGATGTGTGATGCTTCTGATTATGCAATTGGGGCAGTTCTTGGTCAGAGAAAAGATAAAATTCCTCAGGTCATCTACTATGCTAGTAGGACATTAAATGATGCACAATTGAATTATGCAACCACTGAAAATGAGTTATTAGCAGCTGTTTTTGCATTGGAAAAGTTCAGATCCTACTTGGTTGAGGCTAAGGTTATAATTTACACAGACCATGCTGCATTGAAATATTTATTATCTAAACAAGACACCAATCCAAGGTTAATTTGTTGGGTTTTGCTTATGCAAGAAGTTGATTTAGAAATTAGAGATAAAAAGGCAGTGAAATTCAGTCCATGTGTGGGCCGAAGTAACTAGATGTCGTCTAAAACTAAATACTCGATATGAGGTGGTTCTCAATGTGAAATGATGCTCAACTAGAAGTAGCACATGTTGAGGCTACTCGGATTGTGGCTTATGTTGCCTTGGTTGGCTCGGCTTGTGGCGTTGAAAGTGAGGGAGTCCCTTTTATAAAATAAGGGCTCGCTCCTCAATACATAAATGATAGGCTAGAGTTGATGCTCGCGGTGAGGCGGTTGCTCAGTAGGCGGCGATGCTCTCTAATGATGGTGAGGGAGTCCTTTTTATAGAATAAGGGCTCGCTCCTCAATACATAAGTGATGGACTAGAGTTGATGCTCGCGGCGAGACAGTTGCTCAGCTGGCGGCGATGCTCTCTAATGATGGTGAGGGAATCCCTTTTATAAAATAAGGGCTCGCTCCTCAGTACATGAATAATGGGTTATGAGTGATGCTCGCGGCGAGGCGGTTGCTCAGCTGGCGGCGATGCTTTCTAATGAATGTGAGGGGGTCCCTTTTATAAAATAAGGGCTCGCTCCTCAGTACATGAATAATGGATGCTATCTAATAAAAGTGAGGGAGTCCCTTTTATAGAATAAAGGCTCGCTCCTCAATACATAAATAATGGGCTAAGTCCCCCAACTATTTTTCATAAGTGCTCTTTAATGAAAGTGAGGGAGTCCCTTTTATAGAATAAGGACTCGCTCCTCAATACATAAATAATGGGCTAAGTCCCCTAAGTATTTTTCATGAGGCCCAGTTGAGGGGTCATTTTATAGAATAAGGGTTCATCACTTATTACATATTTGCCCCTTCATTTATTACATAATTACATTTGAGTCCCCCGATTATTTATACGAGATCTAGATACGGAGGCCCTAAGTATGGTACAAACAGTAGTCCCCCAAGTCTTCAGTTAAGCGAGTCTTTTGGCTGGAGACTTGAAATTCAGTCCATGTGTGGGCCGAAGTAACTAGATGTCGTTTAGAACTGAATACTCGATATGAGGTGGTACGCCACACAGCCACCGTAGCTCGTCCCCATCACACTGAATCTCTCCACCCCGACCTTTTCCATTATCTTGGCAACCGAGGATGCCTGAAAGACCCCAGTTTGCTATGGGGATGCGGTGGTGGAATTCCTAAAGAAGACAAGGTTGGGGATGTAGAAGTTGAAGTGGGGGAGAAGAACTGGACTTGGTTCCGTTACTGCCACATGGCGGTGAGGCCAAAGCCGTGGATTAGAACTAGTAAAGCTTTTTCGGGGTTTTAGGTTTGGTTAGAAAGTTTAGGGTTGGGACCCCAGAAGTGGAGTGTGGTTTGATCATTGTCGAGTTATAAGTTTTGCTGGGAGAGGCCCGAGCTGGCAAAGCAACGGCGGACGCAAATGGTGAAGGAAAAATTTTGTCCTAGCTAAGAACATGTGAGAATATTTGAATACATATGCAAACTATTAACACATTAAAGTAGGCATGCATTAAAAAACAATTCATAAAACTCATGACTTTCAAAGCCTAGTGAATGGTGAACCAATAAACTATTTAACAACATTAAAGAGAATAAAGGATTTAGAGATTCTTTACCCTTGAAGCTCATCCTTGATAACACAAGGAATTCACCCAAGTGGAGGGCCTTCAAGTCACCTCCTTGCTCCTTGGATCTTCCTTGTGAGTTTCTTCCTTTTAGTGCTCATTTGCTTCTTTGAGGATTTGAGGATATGTTCTTCAAAACACCAAAAGCTTGATGTCTCTAAGTCTCTTCACCAAGGATGTATTGTGAAGATGAAATGGATGACTTAGAGAAGAATAGATTGCTAGCTAAAACTTCTCTGAATACTCGATATGAGGTGGTGCTCGATATGAGGCGGCGATGCTCTCTAATGATGGTGAGAGAGTCCCTTTTTATAGAATAAAGGCTCGTTCCTCAATACATAAGTGATAGACTATAGTTGATGCTCGGGGGCGAGGTGGTTGCTCAGCTGGCGGCGATGCTCTCTAATGATGGTGAGGGAGTCCCTTTTATAAAATAAGGGCTCGCTCCTCAGTACATGAATAATGGGTTAGGAGTGATGCTCACGGCGAGGCGGTTGCTCAGCTGGCGGCGATGCTCTCTAATGAATGTGAGGGAGTCATTTTTATAAAATAAGGGCTCGCTCCTCAGTACATGAATAATGGGTGCTCTTTAATAAAAGTGAGGGAGTCCCATTTATAGAATAAGGGATCGCTCCTCAATACATAAATAATGGGCTAAGTCCCCCAAGTATTTTTTATGAGTGCTCTCTAATGAAAGTGAGGGAGTCCCTTTTATAGAATAAGGGCTCGCTCCTCAATACATAAATAATAGGCTAAGTCCCCCAAGAATTTTTCATGAGGCCCAGTTGAGGCCCAATAGATGGTACATAATGTAGTCCCCCAAGTTTTTGGTCAATAGAGTCAATTGGCTGGAGACTTCAAATTGAATCCATGTATGGGCCGAAGTGGCGGTTGTTCGGAGGCGGTAGTTGTATATCCTGCACTGAAGCTTTGTAGGTGAAGCTTTGCAAGTGAAGCTTTTGAAGATATAGCTCTGTAAATGAAGCTTTCGAAGCTGATTGACATGAGTGCTGCTTATGAATGTTTATGTTGACTGAAATGAGTGATGCTCATGGATGTTGACATGAGTGATGCTCATGAATGTTGACATGAGTGATGCTCATGAATGTTGACATGAATGATGATCATGAATGTTTATGTATGATTGACATAAATGATGCTCATGAATGTTTATGTATGATTGACATGAGTGATGCTCATGTATAATTTTGGAGTACTGGACGTACTTTTGATCACCTGGTTGGTGATAATAGTGACATGTTGCTGAATAATTTTGGAGTACTGGGTGTACTTTTGATCTGGTTGGTGATAATAATGGCAGGCTGCCGAATAATTTTGGAGTACTGGGCGTACTTTTGATCACCTGGTTGGTGATAATAGCAGCAAGCTGCCGAATAGTTTTGGAGTACTAGGCGTACTTTTGATCACCAGGTTGGTGGTAATAGCGGCAGGCTGCTGAATAATTTTTTGTAATACTGGGCGTACTTTTGATCACCTAGTTGGTGATAATAGAAGGCCTGACTCTTTTGGGCATATAGGCCTTCGCCCTCCACATAACATTCCAGCCCACTATTTTGGGCTTGCCGGTTTTTTTTTTACCCTCTGATGGGGTTATATAGATATCTGCGAAAAATAAGAAAAATAAATTACATCATTCAAAACAAAGGTTTCGATACAAAAGCTTCGATAGTTGCAGATCGTTGGTGTGTTGCTTTCGCTTTTGCTTTTGTTTTCTGCTTTGCTTTTGCTTTCTTCTTTTCTCTTTCTGCTTTGCTTTTGCTTTCGTTTTTCTCTTCTTCCTTTTAGCATATGGCAGACAACACAAAGGAGAATAATAATAGAAATATTGTAAGAAAACTTATCTTCATCCTGTTTTCCACTAGTGCTCGTGGTATTCGCAGGAGATGGGATCTGAGCAGCAACAAGGCCGCTAACGTGGGCCATGTCGCAGAGCAAAAAAGAGCACTGCACTTATCCGCAATGACGCGAAACCGAATCTGAGGGATTGGGTTTGGATGAAAACAAAAAAGCTATGTCTCCCCCTCATCTGATTTGTAGTAACTTTTTGTCTAAAGTAAGCCACACCTATCCAAAACGCTGCAAAGCAGCGTCTTGATGAGCTAAAGTAGCTCGTCATTCGAAAACTTGGCCATGGCTTTAACTAACAAGAATCGTCGTTTGGAGAAGCTTAGGGCGTCGTTTTGAGAAACAAGTAATGGTAAAGAATCAGCTTGAAAACCTCAGGTCCTCGTCCTTCCATCATCGCCTGTAAATCTCTTGAATTTCCAGAGAGCGAAAACTTGTGGTGTAGGAGATCGAGCCTGGACTTGTCAACGGTCTGTCGGTGCGCAGATTAGTAAGGCAGATGCGTCGAGCACCATGAACCAAATCGGGACAGCTTTTCTGCCAGTAACTGTTAGCAAGAATCTTCCTATACCTCGTCAGTTCCAGATCCATGGCAGTTTTTCCCTAATACCCTGAATATCAAAGCCTGCAGCTCCAGCTCCTGCCACTGTGACAAGCTGAAATAGCTTCCCATTTAGGGAAATCTGTATTATGTCACTTAAGAAAAAGTCAGGAATGATGTCGAGCTGCCGGGCCATGGCGAGGTTGAGTAACTTGTTGAGCTGAGCCGCTGTGGAAGGCAATATGAAATCTTCAATCTTTTCCAACTTTGCCCTCTTCAAAAGTGCCTCGTGATCTCCTCTCCTCATATTAACCCTAGAGCTAGCAATCACCACTTTCTCTATTCTCTCCGGCCACATCTTCGCCAAGTGGTACGCCACACAGCCACCGTAGCTCGTCCCCATCACACTGAATCTCTCCACCCCGACCTTCTCCATCATCTTGGCAACCGAGGATGCCTGAAAGACCCCAGTTTGCTATGGGGATGCGGTGGTGGAATTCCTAAAGAAGACAAGGTTGGGGATGTAGACGTTGAAGAGGGGGGAGAAGAACTGGACTTGGTTCCGTTACTGCCACATGGCGGTGAGGCCAAAGCCGTGGATTAGAACTAGTAAAGCTTTTTCGGGGTTTTAGGTTTGGTTAGAAAGTTTAGGGTTGGGACCCCAGAAGTGGAGTGTGGTTTGATCATTGTCGAGTTATAAGTTTTGCTGGGAGAGGCCCGAGCTGGCAAAGCAACGGCGGACGCAAATGGTGAAGGAAAAATTTTGTCCTAGCTAAGAACATGTGAGAATATTTGAATACATATGCAAACTATTAACACATTAAAGTAGGCATGCATTAAAAAGCAATTCATAAAACCCATGACTTTCAAAGCCTAGTGAATGGTGAACCAATAAACTCTTTAACAACATTAAAGAGAATAAAGGATTTAGATATTCTTTACCCTTGAAGCTCATCCTTGATAACACAAGGGATTCACCCAAGTGGAGGGCCTTCAAGTCACCTCCTTGCTCATTGGATCTTCCTTGTGAGTTTCTTCCTTTTAGTGCTCATTTGCTTCTTTGAGGATTTGAGGATATGTTCTCCAAAACACCAAAAGCTTGATGTCTCTAAGTCTCTTCACCAAGGATGTATTGTGAAGATGAAATGGATGACTTAGAGAAGAATAGATTGCTAGCTAAAACTTCTCTAAGTGGCCGGCCTCTATAGAGAAAAAGAGAGAAAATGTTTCACCTCTTTTTATCAAGAAAACTCTAAATGAAAATAAAGCTATAAAGTTGAATTTATACTTCATCACATGTGAGTGGTAAACTTGTAATTAATCCAAGTTTGCATCCACTCACCCTATGGCCGGCCATGTTGATGTTATTGGGCTAATTGCCCATTTTGTTTTAGTTGTCATACAACTTAAACATAATGGGCCTTGTGGACCAAAACGTTTTTGGGCCCCGAAGCCCAAAACCAACTTAAAAGCCCAATACGAACATTTCGTATAATTAATTAACTAATTAATTAACTTTGACCATTCTTCAATTAAACCATTTAATTGCATATCCATTTCATTTAATTTCTTCACTTTCATCCTTACTCGGTGTACGATCCATTAGGTTCCATTTAGCGAGGTAGTGGGCGATTGTTGCTCTTAACGATCGATTGTGAATTGAAACCACATTTCAATTTTCCCTTAAAATTAGTGTTTGCTAATCATTAGGGCTTCCACAAACCATGAGTGACACCTAGCAGCATGTCATGGTTACCCAAGCTAAGTAGAATTGGTTGGAAAACCTATCCAGTTACAACTACAATGCAATACGGTCATTCTCTAATACAATATTCTTAATCACATTGTTTAAGTGATAGTTTGTTTCATGTCTACTATCTAATGTGATACTTCTCCATATGATTCAATTGAATAAGATTTGGAACAAACTTCCTAAGTCATATTCATATGCTTTGGCCAAAGACTCTCTAATCATATCTTAGAGTATTCTCCTTCCACCATGGAAGGTTAGAGATCCCTTGTTGTGCATTCATATGCCTACATAACTAGATAGATTGACCCCAACAATGCCGTGGACACTCCAATGGAATGCCTTTGACATGATCAAAGGTCAATGACCTAATCATTAGACATCTATGATACCTCAGGTCAAAGGACTACTTTGCATATTGCAACTATCGAGTTCTTACATGACATGTATGTTCGAACTCTCATTTTTTATCGTAGTTCAGTGTACTCGATTACTCTTTCGAGCACCTATGTGTTTGTCTTAGTGTCCAACACCAAATGACTTGAGACTAGTCATACTCATGCTTGAGTCGACGTAACACATACTAACCTTAGCGGATTGTCAATGCCCAATTGTCAATCCTATGGCTAGGAACGTTTTAGGAATGAACATAGGAGAAAGGTCTCGTTAATCTAACTTACTTAAATCACTTATCTCTTAGATCAAATACATTCATTGGATTCTCTTATTGCTTAAACACATGATACAATAAATAGTGATTAACAATAAGCTTTACCCTTCATTAAACATATAATAGTTTAATACAATAAGTATTCCAAAAGTTATTACATCAAATGAGTGGCTTTGTGGGCATACTTCCAACAAATGGCGTATAAGGAAACGGGGCTGAGAAAGAAGGGTAATATTTTAGGAGTTTTTTATCATGAGAAAGATTAGTTCTTTCTGTTTTTGAGGTTGTTTGGGTTTCTGCAGGTTCACGGTGGTGAGATGGAAAAATGAAAGAGAACCGACATAGCTTTTCGTGTCGATTCCTACAGACAACGTCAAATGTTGATGCACAAAACCGAAGGTCTTGGAACAACGAAAATCCGACCGTGAATCTGCAAGAAATGTAAAGAACACAAGAGGTATCGTGGTTCACCCTAATGTTTGGGCTACGTCCGCACTGATATTGTATTTCTCTGTTTATGAGAGGATTGTGAGGGTGAGAGCTTTACTCTGAATATTTGAAGGGATGTGAGGCTTTGGGGATCTCAGGCCTAGGAATTGGCCTCTCTCAATGAGGAAAGTGAAGGGTCCTTTTATAGAATATAGGCTCCTCACTTATTACATATTTGCCCCTTCATTTATTACATAATTATATTTGAGTCCCCCGAGTATTTATACGAGATCTAAATACGGAGGCCTTAAGTATGGTACAAACAAAATACATGTAAGTATTGTAGCCAAACTCCATATTAACAATCCATTTGTAAGTTTGAAATATTATTGTTATTGAAATTTTGCATTGGCATGGGCATCTGCATCATCAAACATTATCGTCGTTGATTTCCCCCTTTGTAAACTCATGATGTGGTATACCTGTAAACACGAAATTTTCCTGAAACAAAAGAGACAAGAACACGTGTACAAAAAAAAAATTGTATTAATGATTTAGGGGTTACAATCTCTCTCAAATTTGATCATCTGATTCGATCTCTGTAAGGTGTTGATTTGTGGATTGTGATGCTGATCCAAGGGCCGTCAAAGCTTGATCTCGGATGAATGGTTGGAAGTTTCTTCAAGGAGGGCTTTTGGGCTTAATCATGAAGTACGGTTGATGAACGGATCTTCAAAGGGCATTTGAGGCTTGATCTTGATGAACAGTTGATGGATGGATCTTCGGGTTTTTGGGCTTGATCTTGAAGAACTGTTGATGAACAGATCTTCAAGGGCCTTTAGGGCTTGATCTTGATGAACAGTTGATGAATGGATCTTCAAGGGCTTTTGGGCCTTATCTTGAAAAACGGTTGGATATATGGATTTGTTGATGTTGTTGATCCAAAGGGTCGTTGGGGTTTGATCTTAGGATGAACGAATGATGAACGATTAACGCTTTTTTCAAAGGTCGTCGGGGCTTGATCTTGAATTGGTGGAAGTTCCTTCAAAGGGTCGTTGGGGCTTGATCTTGAAGGTTGGGTTGACGAAGAACGAAGAGAGCTTTCTTTATCCTTCGGGATTTGCTTTGGAGCTTTGGAGTTTCAAAGCTTTAAGGTTTTGGTGTGAGGTGAATTGGTTATGACTTGGTTTTTTTTCTTTCTAAATGAATGAAATGGCTTATATTTATAGAATTTTCCAAAGCCTAATTTTGAATATATCATTCAGATGAAATAAATCCTTTCTGCCAGGTGTTGACACATGTCCTGTTTGATGACTTTTCTGATGATTCTTGATTTTTTGTTAAGTCACCTGCTATGTGTAAAATTTATGTGACACGTGAACGTTGAAATTTTAATTATTGATCAACATTTACTTCACCGAAATTTCGATGTCTACAAATGCCCCCATTTCAAGGCGCGCCGTATACATGTGCTTGTCACGTGTAGAAGATGCGTTTTGAAGTCCCTTAATGTAAATGTCGATCCAAGGGCCGTTGAGGGTTGATCTTGAATTGGGCTGGAGATTTCTTCAAGGGCCATTGAGGCTTGACCTTGAATCGGGCTGGAGATTTCTTCAAGGGCCGTTGAGGCTTGATCTTGAATTGGGTCGGAGATTTCTTCAAGGGCCGTTGAGGCTTGATCTTGAATTGGGTCGGAGATTTCTTCAAGGGTCGTTGAGGCTTGATCTTGAATTAGGCTGGAGATTTCTTCAAGGGCCGTTGAGGCTTGTTCTTGAACTTTGTTTGAAATTTCTTCAAGGGTCGTCGAGGCTTGATCTTGAAGGTTGAAATTGGACCATAAGGAGCTTCATGTGGTAGATGATCATTGGCTTTGGTAGTGGATGAATCGGCACATATTTTGTTACACTTGTTGACTTTCCACAGCTTATTCTTAAACTAGGTTGGAGGACGTTTTGGCTTCCTCCGATTGTTGACTTTCCATAACTTATTCTTGAACTGGATTTGATTCAAGGGTGGTAGACACTTGATCTTAAATCGAACTTGTGATTTCCTCAATGGCCATCGAGGCTTGATTTCGAATTTGGCTGGAAGCTTCTTCAAGGGCCGTTGAAGCTTGATTCTTGAAGGTTGACTCGAACACATGGCAAGTAGGCACGAGGTGAAGGTGACGACTTGTTGCTTTGTTCAATCTTTCTAATTCACACCTGAGCAGTTTGGTCAACGGTATGATCTTCAAGATTGATGGGCTCTTCTTCTAGTTGGTGACTTGATCTTTAAGGATTTGATTCAAGGGTGGTGAATCGGCACATGCAGCCCACAACGCCTAGCGAGTCGACCCAAGAATTTGAGGGTCAAAACAAGTCCTCCACCCAGAGTGATTGCAACCCTGATGATATGAGATACTTTTGATTTTGAAGAAGTAACGGATGAATCGGCACATGCTTTGTTGTGCTTGTCTCCACATGCTTCAATGTATCATTTTCCCTTGCCTTATCTGTTCTTCTGGCAGATGTGATATCTTCTCTAGAAGCATAAGATGTTAAGACAATGGGTACTTCGAGAGCAGTGCTAGGTAAGCAATCAGGGAAGG